GTCCACTATATAAATACTTTATCTGACCTTAATATAAAAAATTTGTATTATGGTTCTTCAACCTCTCAATTACTTTCATTTACATTTTACCTTTTGATTATCCATTCAATTATTCATTGTGTCTATCCATACACACATACATACACACACACACATAAAATGATATACATGTATAACTGCACCATTCATAATGTTTTGTCAGATCAACATAAACATATATCTCTCTTTCCAGAAAAAGAAATTTCTTTTTTCAAAAAAAGATGAAATAAATAGAAGAGAACAAAAATTTAATGTTGATTATATACTACTAACTAAAATGAATAATAGTAGTAGTAGTAGTAGTAATCATAATAGTAACAGTAGTAATAACAGATAGTGTATTCAAAATACAATATGGAACTATTGTAATAATCAATTTAAACAAATAAATTTTATTCTTTATTGTAAACATGGGAAAATCAACAAAAGATTTAAAGGATAAATTATGTAAGAAGAAGAAGAAGAAGAAGAAGAAGAAGAAGAAGAAGAAGAAGAGAAGAAGAAGAAGAAATACACTAAAATGAATGAGAATAGTTTCATCAAGTTAACACCATTAGTTTTATCTTCTTACTTTTCGACCACCATCAACACCATCCCCCTCCCACCCTATAATTTTTTCTTTGAAAAAAAAATCAAGATTTATTTTCATTTGGTCAAATGGAAATTTCCCTATTCATAGAAATAGGAAACCAATTTATAGAATTATATATATATGTATATGATTTAATCTGATTTCACGAAAAATTCAGAAACTCCCTATGGTAAGTAAACATAAGAAAAATGGTCATGTTTTCAAAAAGAAAAAGGGAAAAATCCAATGAAATATATATTTGTAATGGTTGAGATCATGTGTCAAGTGAATTTAGATCACCATGGAATACCTGACAGCACTGGACGGCTGTTTTGTCCTATTGTAGGACTTCTCAGCAGTGTACATCCACTGTCATGCCTCACGAGATTCAAACCCAGGATCTGTCAGTCTCTCACAAGGGCTAAACCACTAGACCAGTGAGTAGACATCCAATGGTGTTCATGTCTAATTTCAGTCTATCCATGAATGACTTTGCAACTATTCATTCATTGTCTGGGGTAGATACCTATCTCTACCTGATATGAATTCGACTCCACTGGTCACAGCTTTTTACTAGAACTCCAGGAAATCATCTTGGTGCTAGGTTTTCCATGATGGTCTAGCTTACATCGACTCATGAATCCAACTATTAAAATTACTATAATCTTCACAAATCTCATTCTGATCATAATTATTGAGTTATTTGTTAATTTTATAATGTACTAGTATCTCTTTAATCACCAGTGAACATTAGAATGTACTGAACAGTGATACTTCTTAGTTATCAGGCTTGATTAATGATTAATTGTAGATATGATGTCAGTTTAGCTGGTCTTTACAATGTGTTCTCTTTTTGTTTTTAGTAAATGAAGTTGTAATCGGCAGTTTTCTTGCTGATTTTGATATTATAAGCCAGTAACAATCAATTTGTTGCGTAGATATGAATTAATCTAAGTTAGATAAACAATAAGAACCTGAGCATTGGATGATCGTGTCGTCCCAGTATAGGATTTCTTAGAATTGCACACCTGTAACACGGCCACTGGGGATTGAACCCATGAGTTTTAGTTTCACACATGAACGCTGAATCTTAAGACCACTGAGCTGTGATCCAATCGTATGTAACTCCAATTTTAACATAATTGTTTAGATATAATAAGGAATTGTATTGCGAACAGTATGATCAAATATTCACTTCCTAAGTTGTTTACTCTGAAGAATAAAAACGATGTCTTGATAGATAAATAGGTATATGAGAATAAGTGAGATAGAAAGATAGTTGATCAAACTGTCCATCCTGGTAATGTGTAGTTTCGATTGGATAGTCAGGTCATCTTAGTACAATTAAATTTTCTGTCCATGCAAATATTTCCTGTTGAATACTTCCAAATAGGATTTGAACTTGTGTTTCAAGGATAATACATCTACACAGTTAGGTAGAATACAAGTAATAAAATAGTGTTTGACGTTTTTGAAATTACGATGAAGTTAGCCTCATAAATTGTATTAGTGATAGCTGACTAAGATCATCGAATCGTAATAATACTATTCAATTCACCTCTGAATGTCAGTTATATATGAATGTGATTAGTGATAAAAGAATAACATGATTAACCATACCAACAGCCTTTTAATAATTAATTACTTCTATGTGTCGTTCATCCTTAACTTATGTTGACTAATCACTGTGCAGCGATCAATATCATATTACTATAGTCCTTAGTGCTGATCAAATTCTGTCTAACTATTCAGGATATGGCCTTCGGTCAAGTAACCCAACATAGTATTTCCTATAATTTGATATAACCTGTGTTTCATACGAGTTTGTACTTATTAAGTTAAACGTACTTTAAATTCCTAAGGAAACGATACCCTCCTTGAATTATAAACCCATTTCATCGTTCACCTATCCTTGGAACATCAAAAGTTTTGTATACTAATGTTATAATCAGAGAAGGTTTTTGTGGATATTATAGTAATTTAATAGTTGAATTCATGGGATTACCATGGAATATGTAGAACTACTTAACGGCAGTTTCGTTCTAGTATGGGACTATCCGTCAGTGCTCATCCACGATCCCGCCTCGCGAGATTCAAACCACTGAAAATAATGATGAACAGTGACGCAATTTCGTAGATTGGTTGAAGTTAGACAATAATATTGTTGGATGCTGGCCGGATCAGTGGTCTAGAGATCAAGCGTTTGCGTGCAAGACCGATAGGTTTTAGGTTCAGATCTCACAAGGCAAGATCGTGGATGGGCGCTGCTGAGGAGTTTCATGCTAGGACGAAACGCCCTTCAGTGCATCAAGGTTTTCCATGATGGTTTAGCTTCAACTTACTCATGAATTCAATTATTAAAATACTAATATTACCCCAAAAGATAGAATCATATTTAATGATAATCAGTTAGTTGTAAATTGTACTGTAGTACAAAAGTACACTCATGTAATCTGTATGTTATACTACTTAGTAATAACATACAGTTACGAAATTTCTTACTTTATTTCAATTAATCATATGTGTATTCAAGAGGGTCATTGATAATTTTTGTGTATGTGTATGTGTGTGTGTGTGTGCTTATTTCTGAAGATTTTATCACCTCAAATGATTTAAAGCCTCTACATTGTCTTAATTAACTAAAAGAAAAAGATGAAAAAGTAAAAGAAAAAAGAAAAGAAAAGAAACAGTAAGACGTTTTACCATCTATGTACACGTACACACAGACACACACACACACACAAACGCACTCACTCACTGACGCACGCACGCACGCATATATAAATTTATTCAGCCTATTTCATACAAGAATAAATAAGCCTATTTTTATTTATATAAATAAAAATGGAATGTGTAGCCTCTTTTTCTTTTTTTTTTAATTATTTTCTCTACATTTTTTTCTTTTTGTAACACTATTCACCTGTAAAAAATTTTTGTTTTCTTTTTTTCTTTTTCTTCTTTCTTTTACACTTTCACCTACTGTGATTACACCTTATATTAATATGAACTACATACCATTGGAATAACAAATTTATGCCGCTATATGATAATATAGAACAAAACAAAATGATAGATAACTCTTTCCATCTCTATCTCTTTCTTCATAGATGTATGTACTTAAAAGGAAACAAACGAGCAACAAATACTTTATCATTATTATTATTATTAGTAGTAGTAGTAGTAGTAATGGTGGTAATAGTAGTAGTTACAAACACTTTCATCTATATGGAATATTCTTTTTACTTTTTTCTCGTTGAAATATATTTCTTTTCTCTATCGTATTCTTTTCTTAATTTGTATATTTGTTATTAGAATCATCTAGAATTGTTTATCTATTTTCTATATACATATAGATATACATATATTGACTAGTAGAACGTATCTTATCCATGTAAATAGGTAGGCCAATTTTGACCCTTTCAGATGAATTGATGCCAAGACTATATAGTTCGACTTGTCTATATATCTATATATATATATATATATATATATATATATATATATATATATGTATACTGACGTAAATAGATAGATGAATACAAAGTGAATTCTTGTTTAATTCATTCATCATTTCTAGTTGATGATGATGTTAGAGCTATAAGGTCAAAACGTTGACTGGTATATGATCATTACCAATGTATAGTTCTATTTATATAATGATTTATATTCTTGAGAGAAATGTTTGGCATCTATTTGTCATTTGTATGAGATAGTTTTACAATAACATATAGATTGATTTAATGTTAACACTTTGAGAATGGGATCGAGAAGAGCTCTTGTGATTCAATGCTCATGTAGATTATTAACTTGAAAGGTAGTAACTAGGTGATCTACTTGACTATCTCAGCTATCTATTCTTATCATATAGATATTTCAACAAGTTCTCTATTTTCTTGTTTGTTCTAATACATCATTATATCTATTAGTCTTATAACCTATTCAGTTGAGTTCATGAATAGCTCACAACTTTTCGTTGTACAACTTATAGAACAGCTTAATCAGAGACATAATGGTTACTGGTAATGTGCATTGAAAATGAATATACACTGTTTCAATGTCGATTTACTGGACTGCTAACTTCTAGCTGGCGATCACTCAATATTTAACGCAAGGATCGATCAAGAAATGAGAAAAGGGAACTTGTTGAAATACTTAGCGTTTTTTTTTCTAGCGAGTTAGTTTTCTACAGGATGAGGTCGTTACTACACTATACCCAACCGTCTTCCTTTACCCAGGATTTAGACCGGGAGTAACTCTAGAAGACCTACATGTGGAGTTTTATAAATTGAAAGGTGATTATAAGCTATTACTTTGGACCAATGTCATATCTTGAAAAGTTTGTAGATAGGTGTATGAGTCACATTATATTTCTTGTTTTCCTTTTTATTAGCGGACAATTCAAAAAAATGCACAATATGTATGTCTTCAAGCTAAAAATTGTGTAGTCGATAAACGTCGACGTAATCGTTGCCAATATTGTCGATTTCAAAAGTGTTTAAAAGTTGGAATGGTTAAAGAAGGTTAGTTTAATCAGATTTAATGGATATTGATTATGAAATTTGTAAGCACAATGTGTGATTATTACCATTTATCTTTTTCTTTCATGGCAATTATATCACTAATGGATTGAAAATTGAGTTGTGCTCATTAATGTAAATGTAGTTTAGCATAAAAATTTGTTGATTACAAAGAAGCAATATGTTAGATAATCCCATTTTGATCAGTATTCACTTTCTTTACTAAACGCTTAAGATTACTAAATATCATCGGTCAGTTAAATATGCTTAATATTCCGCATTTCATAATCACTAACTTACTTACGCTTGTTACTCCCAATGGAGCATAGGCCACTGAACAGCATTCTACAACACACTCTCTCCCACTCTGCCTTCATTCCTACTTCTATCCAATTGTTGTTCGTTCTTCTCATATCTGTCTCTATTTCTCGATGTAATGTGTTCTTTCATCTTCCACTTCTCCTCCTTTCACATTGAGGATTGCAAGTGAGGGTTTGCATTGTGACGTACTTAGTTGCTTTCCTCAATGTGTGTCCTATCCACTTCCATCACTTCTCCCTGATTTCTTCCATCGCTCGAATCTGCTTTCTCTTTTATCACAGTAGGTTGTTGCTCATGGTGTCCGACCAATGAATCCGAAGTATTTTATTGGGACAATTGTTAACAAACACTTGTTTCTTCCGGATGATGACTTTCGTATTTCTCCAAGTTTCTACTTCATACAGCAGAACTGTCTTGACAGTTGTATTGAAAATTCTGACTTTGGTGTTGGATTGTGGACATTTGTTTTGAGTTCAAGATGTTGTTGAATTTTAGGTATGCTAGTCTTGCTTTGCCGATCGGCGGCTTCATATCTGCATCAGATCCACCGTGCTCATCAATAATGCTGCTCAGATATGTAAAGCATTTTACATCCACCAAAGCTTCTCCCTCAAATGTGGTTTGATTGATGGGTGTTGTGTTGTATCAGAGAATCTTGCTTTTCCTTTTGTGTATGTTGAGACCTACTGCTGTTGAGGCTGCTACTACACTGGTCGTCTTCTCTTGAATCTGTTGATGTGCGTGCGATAGAAGATCCAGATCATCTGTGGAGTCGAGATCTTCTCACACACGTCGTAGTGTCGAGGAAGCCTCCATAATGCGGTCTTGTTCATGCTGTCGAATGCTTTCTAGTACTCAACGAAGTTGATGTGAAATGGTGAATCTCATTCAATTGATTGTTCCACAATGATCCGTAATGTTGCGATTTGGTTGGTACATGATCGATCATTATGGAATCCAACCTGTTGGTCTCAAAGTTAAGCATCTACAGAGTCTTCCATTTTGTTTAACAAAATCCTGTTAAAGACTTTTCACAATAATTTCCACTTTTTTTTTCAAACTTTTCAACAATATCTAATGGAATCATTTATGTATCATAATTTACTCATTAATATCCTAATTTATAGATATAAACCATATAAATGAACTCAAATTGAGATTTGCCAGATTGGTTTTTAGATATAATTGAAAACTTCCAGTTCACTGGTTACGAGATTAAAAGTTTCAAAGTACAATATTATGGGCTTTTTTTGACGGAATATTCTAATAGAGTACTAAAACAGATATCTATTAATATGAGAAGGGACTTTTTTTGGATATTACTTTAATGTTAATAGTTGAGAACATGAGTTAATTAAAGCTAGACCATCATGAAAAACCTAGAAACAGTGGACAGCCGTTCCGTTCTATTGTGGGACTTCTCAACAGTGCACATCCATGATCCCACCTCATGGGATTCGAACTCAGGACATACCTGTCCCACGCTCGAACGCCTAACCATTAGACCATTGATCCGGCTGACATTTGACGGTGTTAATGACCAACTTCAACTAATACATGATATTCACTAACAACTCTTGTATCTATTATTTCACTGGTTTCAAATAATTCTCTATGGTATGTATCAGTTTATAATGAATAGTTTGTTTATTTATTTATTGGACACATAAATACTGGTACAAAGAGGCACCAGATACATATGCGCCACACAAATCTCGTCTGATTTGTGTGAGGGCAGTGATACTGCCCGGGTGCCCAGACAGAAAGAGGTGGTTTTATTAGGGGGCCACACCCGGAGCTTTTGACCGAAAGGTCTGATCCACAAGGCAGTGGAGCATGGTAAGGTGATGCCGTCCAATGGCAGCCAGTGATCAATGATTGGTTCATACGCCATTTATTCCCGCAGGATACTGGAGCCAACTCTTCTAGATGAACTCTCCGTGTTCGTCAATACTGTTAAAGCTCTTGACATTCGCTTTTCATCTTCCCAATTTCATGAACAACACCCGTGGTGCAAGAAGACAGTGAGTAGAACTTCCCTGGCAGAGGTTATATACGAGTGGCCATTTGAGAGAATTTGAAGAGGGAGAGCTGACTCTCTCCCCAATCTCCGCCATACCAGAGCATTTGAGAGCTTTTATAATAAACTATATATCGTCGTTTCAATGAAATATAAACTGTAATATTTATGTCACTTTTTTAGTAACAAAAAGAAAATTTAATTATGTTAATTAAGAATAATAATAAATTCTGTTAAAACAAAACTTCAATTTTCTATATTTTATCCAAGAGAAAAAAAAAAGACAAAAAGAAAAAGAGGAAACTTTGCAATAACCTAAATCCTCTTTATAGACGAGTCCATTTTTAAGGTTTCAATTTACCATTGTTTATTAAAACGACTGCTAATTTTGACTTTTATGAATAAGCACAAAATTACACCCACCCACCCACCCACACATACACACAAACGAACATATACAAATACACACACACACACACTAAAGTACTAGTATATTACTAGCATAACAATATAGTCAAATGACTAGTCCTACATAATATGAACATACATGTAGAAAAAGATTAAGAAAAAGAAAATACATAGTTACTTTAAAAGTAAAATTGTATTCAGTTTTCTTTATAGAAATAAGAAAATGCATCAAATTTTTTAAGTAATATAAATAGGTATACATGATAAAAGAATAAATTCTGACGTTTTTCTTTTTCTTTTTCTTTTTTCTTTTTTCTTTTTTTCCTTTCAAACTTTTCCACTTTTTTCTTTTTTTCTTTTCATATATATATGATACTGCTTTGTTTTGTATGTGTGTGTGTGTGTGTTTCTTTTTTAATTTACAAACTAACTAACCTATTCGATCATTTTCTTTAGTTACTATGTCTTTCACTTAACTAATATTAATATCCATTTGGTTTTCTGCTTACAAATAAGAAATATCAATGTTTAAGATGATGACGATGATGATGATGATGATGATGATGATGATGATGATGACGATGTTCTTAATGGTTACGATGATGATGGTGCTGATGATGATGATGGTGATTGCATACCAGACTGAAAGTGATTTATTTTCTTCATATATTTTTCTTTCGCCTACATTTGTATGAATTATTTATGCTGAATGGTAAAAGGAAGACACTATTGAATAATGAAAGAAGGAAATTCACCTTCATCTATCTATTTATCTCTACTTTACCTTGTAATTTTACGAATATAAATAAATGGGATAATTTATTTTTTTCCTTTTTTTGTTTTTTTCTTTTCTGTTTTTTTTTCTTTTTTTTTCCACTTCATTGTAATCAAAGCAACACGGTAAGCGAAAATAAAATAAGTGAAGAATGTTTGTAACAGAAAATAAATGGAACTTAAAAGGGAAATATAATACAGACTAATCTAAAAGAAGCTTACCATGTAAATGTATTCGTATGTATATATATATGTGTGTGTGTATGTGTGTGTCTGTGTTAAATTCGAGAAAACTTTCTATACTGTTTTGTATCATGATGATATTGTGTTCCGACAATGACATAATCGTATAATTTATTTAGTAGTACAAGATAAGCAACTCTCTTCTTGTTGTTGTTGTTTAAATGGAAAACAATCATGTCGTATTTTCAATATGGTTAATGATACTTTCATTTCTTGCTGTTGTTGTTGTTGCCATAGTTACAACTTTATAAAAATTTCACATAACTGAAACATTTTTAGGAAATAAAGAGAGAAAAAACATTTATTACAGTTGCTAAGATTAGTAATTTTAAATTATTTTATTGATTTTGAGATGGTGGAGAAGTTTGTGCTGATGATGTCGTTCAGAAGAACGATGAAAGCTCCACGACCAAACCATCCAGCTCAGAGAACAAAACTCCATCAAAATATTTTATTGATTATTATTTGTTTGATATAGTAGACGAGAGTAGAGGGATGAGACTATAATTTCTGAATGAACTTTGTGTGAATATAAAATGATCTTAAGAATGTTCACTTACTTATTAGAGTTAAATGAGGGTTATAAACTTGTGTGAAGAATCAAGATTATGATTTACAGTTGATAGTTAAGATTAAGAATTAGATTTAAGGTTTACATCATGAACTGATATCACTTAAAATGCCAAAATGCTATTCAGCCAAATGAATGAATGAATTTCATGCCTAAATTCTAAATTTGATTGGTTTGTCTGTAAGTTATCGTCTCGTTGAGGAATAGAAGTATCTTAACATGGGCGAATAATAATTACATATCTTTATAAGCAAGGATGGATAGTGGCTAGCAGTGGAATCCTTTTCGCGACTCGTCAGCTGGACGTACCTGCATCTCAGAGTTGATATTCACTCTGGGACTCGAACTCAGTACCGTTCACTTCAAATGCCATCGCGTTATACACTTAGCCACTGAGTCCTGATAGCCACTTGCTTGTGCAATGAGAAGATTCAAGTAAAACAACATCAAGTGAATTATATATCTTTACTTTGAAAACGTACAGTTACTTTCAATTGTACATAATCCTTATCTTTACAATATTGTTAAATGAGATTATTATAAGTGTGTTGTTCTAGCAAAAGTGTTGTGTTTGCTTATGGTGAAGTGACAAGTTCTTTTTGGTTATTGGCATGATTACAAACATTTTATGAAAATCTGACATTTATGTTGTCTTTGTTAAGCCATGTTGGTATATACTCATATATGAGCTGAAACTTGTTACTGTTGCAACGGGTGGATTGCAGATTATGGATGGAGCAGCGTTTTATCGATCGATTACAGTAACACGTAAACACGTAATGGACGGCCTAGAGTTCTCATTGGTCCCGCTTCCCTGTCTAGCCCAGCCAGTTGAGTCCAGAACACAAGTCACAGCCTCTGAGTTATGAATCGTTATATTTCAAACATACTCTGTTTATATACCAATCAAACAGATCACATCGTACCATAAAAATAGAAAACAACATCTGTACAATATTTAACGAGTGAAATAAATAATGGCCAATAGGGAATGTCCATTTAAAGTTCAAGGACATCATTAGACTTAACATGATAATGTTTGGCACATTATTCCTCAGCATCCCTAACAGTTACTCAATAGATGTGTCTAACTCGAAAGGAGTGACACTTATAGACTGTTATACTATTGCCTAAGGAAAACGTCTCTAACGATTTGTTTTCCAAAGATTACTCCAAGGGGTGTAATAAATTGATCACACAATATGAACTCATTCTTATTAGTTAGGTTCTTCGTAGTTATTTTATTACTATTCTTATTATTATATGCAAGATTTATATTATGTTCTCCATATATGAACAAATTCGACCACTTCACTTTTACCTGAAGTTTGTACTGATGATGTCGTTCAGAAGAACGATGAAAGCTCCACGACCATACCATTCAACTCAGAGAACAAAACTCTATAAATATCATCCATTTAAACTACAAATCTTCTTCACCATCCCTATGGACATATTGCCAATAACAGACTGATCAATCACAGTCCTAATTAACAATGGGAAGATTCAAACAAACAATAAGAAGTGAACAATATAAATAATTGATAACGAATAGAATTTAACTGATAGCTTTTTCTAATCAGAATATGATTGTCAGGATGAACAACTTGGAAACATTTGTTTGTATAACATTGCATCAATACTAGCTGTTCTCAATCAAAATTTCCATGAAGTTCACTAATATAAAGTCCGAGAATTTCTTAAATCCTAGTTAATGGTGAATACATGATTATTGTTGAAATAATTATAGTTCTTAGATTTTATCCCAGAACGATTCCAGTCGTGGATTGTTAAGGAAACTAAATCGTTTACAATTCTTCTAAATTATTAGTGATTTCTTGATTTAAACTGATCACTGATGATAATTTCTTTTAGTTCACTCAGAAATTTACATTACTTACTTACTTGCTTACGCCTGTTACTCCCAATTGAGCATAGGCCACCGAACAGCATTCTACAACACACTCTCTCCCACTCTGCCTTTCTTTCTATTAATATCCTATTGTTGTTCGTTCTTCTCATATCTATCTCTATTTCTCGATGTAATGTATTCTTTCACCTTCCACTTCTCCTCCTTTCACATTGAGAATTGCAAGTGAGAGTTCGCACTGTGACGTAGTTGGTTGCTTTCTTCAATGTGTGTTATATCCAAAACCATCACTTCTTTCTGATTTCTTCCACCGCCATAGGCTGCTTTCTTTCCTCTCACAGTAGGTTGTGGCTGATATTGTCTGACCAATGAATCTGAAGTATTTTGTGTAGACAACTGTTAATAAACACTTGTAAGAAATCGACGTAATATTTTTATTAAAAATATCCCATTATAAAAATCTAATTTTGAATTCATTTTAATTATTTGTTTTTCTTCATTTCATTAGTCGTTCGTCGGGATAGTCTTAAAGGTCGTCGAGGTCGTTTATCATCTAAAGCACGTTGTCAATTAAATGAACATGGTGGATTAGCCAATTGTTATAATGATGGTAATATTAATAAAAATCTATTACCTTTACATAGTTTTCTTCATAAACGTAATAGTATATCACCAAATTTTTCATCTATTCATGGTAAACGTTACTCAGGTTCTAATATACAATTAAATCATACAAATAGAACAAATTCCAATACTGTAAATTCAACTGTTACACTTTTATCAATGTTGAGTAGAGCATATGAAATGGTTGGACCAAGAAGTCATTCTATCATGAATAATAATGAGAATAATTTGATTCAAAGTAATGAATGCTCAAAAAAACATGACGTATTAAATGGCGAGGTTGGAGATTCTTTACAAGCTTCACCTGATGATATCGAAGTAAGTGATTCATAAATATAAAAAAACACAACCATTTTCTTCTTTGTTTCTTAGCGATTTTCACTAGAACATATAAAGAATGCTATTGAATTTGATCTTTGGTCAAGTTGAAAATGTTTCTCGTTTTTTAAGATGTTGATCATGAATTTTCTACTTGGGTCTATGTGAGATCATGGACCGATTGATGTTAGACCACCATTGAAAACATGGAAGCACTGGACGGCCGTTTCGTCCTATTGTTGAATTCCACAGCAATGCACAAAGCTATTCACTAGTAAGCGTATGATAATTATCAGTATGGGGTTATGGAGACTCTGTGAGTAAATTCTCGGAGTTTTTGTGAGAATCCGTGACCAATGGATCTAATCGTTGTTGGGTAAAGATAGGTATCTACTTCAGTACAATGGAAGATGGTCGTACAATTTCGTGGATTGGTTGGTGTTAGACATTAACACCGTTGGATACTGGCTCAGTGGTCTAGAGGTTAACCGTTCAAGCATGGGACCGAATATTCCTGGGTTCGAACCCCGCGATCGTGATCTTGGATGCGCACTGCTGAGTAGTCTCACAATAGGATGAAACGGCCATCCAGTGCTTCCACGTTTTCAATGGTGGTCTAACATCGATCGATTCTTAATGATCTTAATCAAAAACTTAATAATTTCCACAACTTCATACTGATAAAAATTTTTAGTTGTCACAAGAGGCAGTTTTACATATAATGATACGAGATGAGCTCTTTATCTCCATAAGGTGTATAGAAAAGCTAGATGAATTACATTGTTAGTAAAATTACAGAGCTGTACTGTGCGATATGGCCGATATTTGAACCATCAGGATCGAATTGAGCAAACGATCGGAAAATCATATTCGATAATTTGTTCTTTTTTTTATAAAAAAACGTTTTACACAAACGGTGGTCGTTTATAGATTCAATATCTTGTTAATCTTCTTTAGAAGGGTACATCTATTGTCATTAGTATAAATAACCACTGCAAGAAGTGTAATGTTTTATCAAAATAGACGAGTAAAGTTGGGTCTTTGCTCTAATCCATGAGTGTGCAGTATGTATTTATTGACCGAATTCATTTTTGAATAGACTAAACTATACCATGCTATAACACATCATCTAATTAAACTATAGCCTCAAAACAGTCAGGATCTTCTGTGCTATTAAAGTACTCGTAAAATGATTCTTTAGTCCAATAAATCTATTATGGAACAAACAGGTTAATACTAATAAACATGACAATAATGTATAGTCTATGTCATTACCTTAATCAAACTGATATCCCGAAATTTAACCAATGGATTTTTAGTACAGGATCTAATACTATCAATACTGTTAACCGAATTCCCTACAGCCACGTACCAAGATGGAGTTGTTCAGAAAAATAAGGAGTCTACAAAGAACTAAAGCAACCAGTTTCTATAGGGGTATATGTAATGAGATCAGTTGAAAACAAACATTTAAATAAACATAGGCTTGGTGATAACAAAAAAAGTCTTTATCAAAAACTAACTTTAGCTGCAAAACTGTCGAAAGTGACGAAACACTGATGAACAACTTTGTTTACACTGGACACCTATTACAAACATATATGTCTTGAATATTTCTGTTTTTAACACCACTTAATAATAAAAATGCTCTTAAAATCTCGGTCATTAATGTTAGCTTACTACAGAGATGATAGGATTTGCAGTAATATGTCATTGATTTCAAATACATCATCACTGATAAGGTTGAATAAGAGCCGTACCCTATTGTAAATTGATGGAATTCTGGAGTGTAGATCACTCTAGCTGAGAGATTTTATAGGCTTACTTTGACTCTTTGTGTAAAAGATCTTCTACTAACTTTGTTCATTTTCTTTAACTCATTACGTTGCTTAACATTGGAAGGCTAAATATACGAATTGAATGATTAAATTTATTTGAAGCACACTACCGCAGTATTTGTATATATGACCTGATAATGAAAGAGTTCTCATGATGAATAACAATTACTTACTTACTTACTTATCGTTTTTAGCGACTTAGTTTTCTACGGAATGGGGTCACTAACCCCATGGCCAACTCTCCTACTTTATCCGGGTTTAGGACCGGCAGTAGCCCCAGGGGGCTTCAGGCAGAGTAACACACCTTAGAGAAAACCTTAACAATTCTCGTGTAAGTTTAAAAGGTTATTAACCGACATCATTTTGTGTTGTGTGAAACCATTCTAGTTTACATTGATATGGTTCGGTGCTTGTAAGTCAACATCAAAAATACGTACATTTAGATATTGGGGTGGTTGGAGCCCTTGATTTGCCGATCCGCACCTTCATATCTGCATCAGATCCACCGTGCTCATCAATAATGCTGCTCAGATATGTAAAGCATTTTACATCCACCAAAGCTTCTCTCTCAAATGTGGTTTGATTGATGGGTGTTGTGTTGTATCAGAGAATCTTGCTTTTCCTTTTGTGTATGTTGAGACCTACTGCTGTTGAGGCTGCTACTACACTGGTCGTCTTCTCTTGAATCTGTTGATGTGCGTGCGATAGAAGAGCCAGATCATCTGTGGAGTCGAGATCGTACAGCTGCATCCTAGCTGTTCACTATATCCCATGCTTCCCCCCAGATGATGACATCTTTATGATCCAGTCGATCACCATGAACCCCTCTGGTGCTGCAACCGGTACCGAGCCGAAATGAAGCAGGAGGGTTGGGCATGGGTTTGGCGACCCCATCCCATAGAAAACTAACTCACTAGAATACGCTAACCAGAAACAATGAATACATCTACTTTAAATGAAAAAATTACATCTGTAAGAATTGGATTGATGGAAAGCGGTTAGTATAGTAGTTAATACTTTAAATTGTTAGTCTATAAGTTGAAATTGTTTCTACACGTAATTTGAATGTTTACTGTGATATGACTTGAATTATTTTATAAAGGATCGTAATAAACCTTTGGGTTAATCCATTACTTTATCACTCTTAACTTAGATGGGTTAAATATCTCACATAATAATAGTTCTATGAGATCATACATCAGACTCAATTATTCTTCAAGTCACCTAAAATGATGACACGATGGTGTCTACACTTTCATTACATTTCAATTGATGATTAATGATAGAAACTGAGCAACTTTTTTTTATTTTTTCTTGTTGTGTCCATCATGACTTAATAAATAGTTATTAACCCTTTTAAAGTTTGAAGTATCAGTTACTGTGTTCAAGTTTTAATAGACAAGTCAGTACTAGAGGTATACAACCACTGAGTTCCATAGTAGGATGAAACAGTCGTTCAGTACTTCCAGGCTATCCATGATAGTCTAACTTTAATCAATTCATGAATTCAGTTATTAAAAATTACTGTAATCTCCAGGATATAGTATAGGAAGAAAGAATTAGTTGGTAGAAAGTAAGATATAAAACAATTTCAATCTCATAGTTTAGGTAAAGACAAAGAGTGTAGATACCTACACCGTTAAGATCGCTCCTAAACCATATCACCCAATAAAGTGGATTATCTTCTATTCAAACCTAAAATTTACATTATTTCTAATTACAACATATATACAACTAAATATTAAACATCGAAAGTACATAGGGGTATTTCAAAAGACTGTGAATTTCTACATTATTTGAAAAACTATTATTCCAGCCAATAATATAGTTCGATTGATTCATCACGATAAACAAACCCAACTACCATGTCAAAGTAGTAACAGTAGTTGAGACTAGTGTTAAATACATCATAAGCAATTCCATATGTATTTCAATGGTTGAGATCATGAGCCAGTTGTAGCTGGACCACCATGAAAAACCTGGAAGCACTGGACAGACGTTTCTTTCTAGTATGGGACTCCTCAGCAGTAGGTACCCACGATCTCGCCCCCCGCGAGATTTGAACCTAGGACGCATGATCTCAATCATTGAAATTTCTATAATATCCACAGACCCCTTCTAATACTGGTCAACAAATGTTCACTGGTGACTGGCTTCAAGATGTATATTCTAGAGTTCTAGTGAGAAGAAGTGACCAGTGGAGTTCAACCAGGTCTGTAGTGAAGTAGTAACTCACTGATGACAATGTTAGATGTGTCGTTGAATTTTGTGGATTATTTGAAGTTATACATTAACATCAATGGATTCCGGTTCAGTGGTCTGGTTTTTAAGCGCTCGCGCACGAGACTGATAAGTCCTGGGTTCGAATCTGGCGAGGCGGTAGCGGGATTGGGGATGCCCATTGCTGAGGAGTCTCACAATAGAACGAAACGATCTCCCAGTGTTTCCAGGTTTTCCATGATGATCTAGCTTCAATTGACTCATGATCTCAAACATTGAAATTACTATAATACCCACAAAACCCCTTCTGACATATATATTTACAATTTTATTATAGACATATTATAAAAATAGTAAATTTTATTCATTTCTTATACCAGAATCATTCAAAATGATTGACATTAATTATGTTAATTGATTGATTAATTATTGATTTTTTATATTAATATTTTATCCCTTTAATTGTAATTTGTGTATTTTTATAATCTAAGTAACTAACTAGATATTTCACTATCATTATACTATTTACATATATCAAAAGTGACGTGTATATACATTATGTCCAAGAAATATGTAATTAATGATGATTGAATAGTAACTAGTCAAATGACAGATTGATTCAACCATATGGATATAAACATTAATGATGATGTAACATATTTTATGAATATCTTCTAATGATTACACTTGTTACCATTTATGAATGAACATAGGCTGTCTATCAGCATTTCCTATATATATATATAACTTTGTCCTGAGTAATACTTTTCAGTTATTTCCATTTACTATCCATACTTTTCATGTTTGCTTACAATTCTCAACGCACTGTGTGATTCGGCCTTCCTCTTTTTCGTTTCCTTTCATGATTTTTATCGTCTTTTCCTAATTTTTCTCTTCAGCTGGGAGCTGGTTTGTTCTCTCATACAGTAGGCCGTTGCTGAT